AATGGGGGTTGTGATCAGTCCATCACACGTTGTCTCTGCTGCTTTATCCTCTTCAGGGGCAGGACTCCTCACACTCTTCCCCTGCTCCAGCATGGGGTCCCTCCCACAGGAGACAGTCCTCCACGAACTGCTCCAGCGTGGGTCCCTTCCACGGGCTGCAGTCCTTCAGGCACAGACTGCTCCAGCGTGGGTCCCCCACGGGGTCACAAGTCCTGCCAGAAAACCTGCTCCATGGGCTCCTCTGTTCACAGATCCACAGGTCCTGCCAGGAGCCTGCTCCAGCGCGGGCTTCCCATGGGGTCACAGCCTCCTTCGGGCAACCACCTGCTCCAGCGTGGGGTCCTCTCTGGGCTGCAGGTGGATGTCTGCTCCATCGTGGAGCTTCATGGTCTGCAGGGGGACAGCCTGCCTCACCATGGTCTTCACCATGGGCTGCAGGGGAATCTCTGCTCCAGTGCCCGGAGCATCTCCTCATCCTCCTGCTTCCCTGATCTTGGTGTCTGCAGGGTTGTTTCTCTTACATGTTCTCACTCCTCTCTCCGGCTGCCATTACTGTGCCCACTGCAACTTTTTTTCCCTTCTTAAATCTGTTATCCCAGAGGCACTACCACTGTCACTGATGGTCTTTGCCTTGGCCGGGGGCGGGTCCGCCTTGGAGCCGGCTGGCACTGGCTCTGTCGGACATGGGGGAAGCTTCCAGTAGCTTTTCACAGAAGCCAGCCCTGTAACCGCCCCCGCTACCAAAACCTTGCCACACAAACCCAATACAAAGTGGTGGGAGCATCAGAGCAGTGCTTTTGACGTATGCATGGATGCATTAGTACATTTGTGCAACATTTCCATCTGCTTCATGAGCAGTTTCATCTGCAGCTCATTACCTTGCAGAAGTTCTTACAAGCACCGGAAAGCTGGTGGCTTTCTCAGTGAAGTACACTGTTTCTGGAGGAATACTTAGTTTGGACCCACAGACTTGTAGGAGTGCATTGCGCAGAAGAGTAATTCTGAAAGGTAGTCCAAGTATGAACTTTAAATGGAAAATAACCTGTGTATTGATAAAATATAATAATAGTTATTCGGTCAACTTGTCCAATCCTGAACCTTAAAGAGTAGAAGTGTGGTAGGCTTGTAGAAGTACCACGTATGGAGGTAGAATTTTATATGGAAGCTGCAGGGAATGGAGCAACATATTTGAAAGGAGTACAGGTCAAATGTGGAATAGGAGTCAACAAGAGCTGACAAGGTTGGCAGATGAACAGGGAAGCAATCTTTCAGTGTGTGCTGAAGTGTTCAGGTCCTGCTTAAGTGCACTTACTAATCTCATAAAAGTTTTGAAGGCTGCACATTACTTGGATTTTAACACATGGCAGTTTGATTCAGTGGAATGTGAGCTCCCAGTTATGTTCAGTTGAATTGCTCTACTATTTATCTTTGCTTTCTCTGCTGTCCTCTGGGTCATTTGTGCATAATAATGAAATACTCATTTTGTTGTTACAGTATTTCTACTGTTGTCTGTTCTGGATTTGGAAGCCGGATGGCATGTCTGTTGATCACCTTGTTGTATATTCATGGACATGGGTTAGTGTTGACTTACCAAATGTCTGGTTTTTTACTTTGCTTTGAGGGATTACCTGCACATCCCACCTCCCCGCCCTCCTTTACCAGCCAAACAGCTGATGCAACTCTGCAAACTTTAGACAGGCCACCTGAGCAGTTAAACAGGTTCATTTTGGTTTTTATACATCCTGCCACATGCCAGCATGGAGGTGGGAGGGAAGGCCGGTTGTGAATGTGTTGCGCTTTATCAGACTAGACTTTAGACTTTCTGTTAAATGTCCACAAGTGATAAGAAGAAAGAAAGAAAGAAAAGATAGAAAAGGAGCACCAATTTGGAAGGCAAAATCAAGCCTAGGACTCTTCCACAGAGGAATTAAGAGGTAGGGTTGATAATCATAATTGTTCAGCCTATAAAATTTTGTAACCTTTCTGTTTTCTTTTATAGCCTTAAGCATTGTGAGTTAAATTTCTTTTAGTGTATACTGATCTTACTGGGTTAGTAATAGACAAGAGATTTTCAGCCTAAATGGAAGCAGGACCATGGTCTTGAGTAATTAATGCTTTGCAGTCGTTCAGGTGTTGCCACAGTTTGATCACTGGAGAATGATAAGGGAGTAACATTTCCAATAAATTAGAAGGTGATCTTTTGTTAAGTTGGTACTTGAAGACCAATCCACAAAATTTGCACTGAGAAAGTAGAATGTATATGGTAAAGACAGGAAGATTCTAGGCATTGGATATGTTCATTCTTGCTTTAGGAATGCAATGTGTTTAATCCATTTCCTTGCATGTGTTTTGCCAGCCTGTTTTCTGGGGCAAGTAGGTAACCATAAACCATCCCTGTAGATAGTCTGGTATTTTCTAACACATATGTGCATATATAAATATCTAAAACCAGAATACATACCTGACTCTAAAAGAGATTCATAAACCACTGAGAGGATGTGTAGGGTGAGAAGAGATTTGTTTCCCCCAAGATGTGTGTGCATTCTATATTGGATGCTATGAGAATGTAACAAGAAGTGAATAGACTACAGATAGCGTACAGTAGATGTGGGTGTTCCTATCTGTATCACTTTTACTTTTTGCATTGATGTTTGGTGACTGTTTTCATTAATTCCTCTTTCTTATGGTGGTGTTGTTTTGTGCATGTAATGCAGCCTTAGAGGAAATTAACAACTTTCCTTGAAGATGGGTTTTTTATTTTTTTTAAGTTTATTATTTTATTCAAGCAAATTAAGTTAGTTCTACCAGCATTATCCTTAAGAGCATTTCCCTTATAAAGTTGTCTTAATATGCACTAAGAAAAATTGGGATGAAAGCTACTGTATGTAGTCACTCTACATAAAAAATGTACAGAACACTATTGACAGTATAGTATGTGCATCAGAAACAACAATCAAATCAAAATAATCTTCCTTTCATTGTCAACGAAGTTGAGAATTATCAAGTGTGTGTTTCTTCTCCACCTGGTGACATTTACCTAACCTCTTTTATAATGGCAGATCTTAGCCCACAGAAGTCTTTCCATGTACCTGTAAAGAAAAAGATTAAATTAATGTTTCCCAGTTTCTTTTAAGGGATATAATATTTCTTCATTGTATTGATGTTTTTCATAACCAGCTCTATTTCTGAATGCATCTGTCAGGGTTTCCTACTTCTCTTTGTAACAAATTGTGATTGCCATTGAAGTGTTGAATTTTTGTCCTTTGCCTAATTCTCATTCCCATGAAGTTTGTTGTTCTCTGAAATGCTGTAGATACCTGAAGTGTGGCTATCCACACTTATATCCAGAGTGCAAATTTGTAAAGGTTTAATTTGTTCTGCTAGCTGAAAATGTTGCATTTATTCTTATATGTATATTTTAGCCCTTGAATTTAACTGTGATAACAAGCAAATAAATGTTGTATAAGGAAACAGGTGGTATTTGGACGCACCCTATTTGTCTCTGACTCCTTGAGAGGAAAAGATTGACAGTGGCAAAACTTAGAAAAGCAGAAGCCAACAGCTGTGAACGTTTCCATTCTTACTTAGTCATCTGAGCTCAGTTGTGTGAGTGCCTTTGAACAAACAAGAAAAGAATAGCTGCATATGAACCGTGTGAGTCAATATATGGTAGCATTCTGAGCAGAATTTGAAGGGGTGAAAACCTGCATATTTTGTTAGTTTTTAGAGATGAAATGTGTGTGTTTAATTCAAAATCCTTATCACTATGCTAGGCAATGATAAAGAAATGGACCACTGAGCTACCTTCAGAATAATTGTTTCAGGAATGCCTCTTCTCCAGGAGCTATTTGAAATAGCATGCACAGATGTACTTCTCCTTGGCTGGAGAGTCCTGGGAATGGTTTTTGTTGCACTGATTTTAAAGCATTTTCTTGCATGTATAACTGGTCAGCTTGTCCTCGGGGAGACAATTCACAGCCATTCTGTTTGGCAGAAGAAGTGCTGTTGCGATGGCTTTCCATTTGGGATTTGGTAGGAAGAGATGGGTGGTTTTGACCGTTCATTTTAAAGGTGGTGAATTGAGTAATTTGTCTTCTAGGTACAGGTTATATCAAAGACTACTGAGTCGTCAAAGCAGCTGTATAAAACAACAAAATTAAGTGATACTATAGCAGGGGTTAAGAAAACAAAGTGTAGAAACTTATGCTTCTTATGTTGAGAACTTGATTAAAAACAATGCTGTTTACCCTTTGTCCAAAAAGAAAAGATTTTTCAATTTGCCTGAGACTTTTTGTAATTTTCCCTTATTTTTTTTAGTGTTTTCAGTCTTCTTAGAATTACCTTGCATGCTTGACAAAAAGATACATTTTGTGTTAGACTAGCTAAAGCTAAAAGAAATAGTGCAGAAGGTTATGGTATGGTTAAAAATTAGAAGTGAGAGCAAACACGTCTTAGGTGCCTGTCTCCTTTCTGCATGTTTACTTTAAGAACTGGTAATAATCCCATTGTATGGCCTTAGGGGGTGTTGTGTTTGTGCAGCTAAGGGTGTGTGTTTTCTTTGTTAAACACAGTTTAGAGATTATTCTTTAAATTATGTGGGTGCTATATTTGATTTGATCTGCTATTTGAATAATGCCAGGTTTCAGCTGTAGGTTGTATTTTTTGCAATTTCTCAAACTTGCCTTTGCCTTTTAGTTCTGTCGTTGTAAAGCTGTAATTAGCAAGCCATGGTCTTGGTGTACGGTACAATGTTTTTATCAGGTTATAGAAAAAAAAAAGTTCCAGGCTTTGGCCCACATGATTCTTACGCAGAAGCAGCTTGTAAATCTGCTTGAAACTGTCATTTGGGAAACCTTGCTTGGTATTACCTCCTATATATGTGTGTATATGTGTGCGTGTGTAGATATGTATGTATATATTTGCAAGCTTTCAAAATGTGTCCCTTCACTCGCCTATTCATGAAATGTTAAGTAGTTCACAACAGCTTCTCTCTTTTAAAGATTACCCCGAATTGGGAGAACTTCCACCCAGATCCCCACTGGAACCAGTGTGTGAAGATGGCCCTTTTGGGCCACTGAAAGAAGAAAGGAAACGAACACCCCGTGAGCTTCGCGAGTTGTGGAAAAAAGCCATTATTCAGCAGATACTGCTCCTCAGAATGGAGAAGGAAAACCAGAAGTTACAAGGTTGGTGAAGTTCTTGATTACACCCTACTGCAATACAAGTTCACTCTTTGGCTTGCTCTGTGGCCTTGGCAGTGGTTTGGACCAAGCCTTAATGAAACATTTTAGGAACATACAGGTAAATCAGTTTAGCAGCATCTCCCTCAGCTCTCATTAGTGTAGGTGACAAGTTAGACTTATTTTTTTATCACTTCACCTTATTACTTGTTGGCTTGATCTTAATTGGTACTCTTTTAGTTTTACCATGTCTGGGGTTTTTTAGTCTGCTGTCTAGAAGCTCTGACAAGGAATTAAGCACAATCGCTATCATGAACTGAATTCTCTTCTACATTCGCATCCATAGGTCATTGTCTATGTATTGGTCATAGCAACGTCCTGTTTAGCCAGTCTTGAAGTTGAATTGAAGTTCTTAAGGTGCTGGTTGTGGAGTTGAAACTATGGGTGTCTGCAGTAGCACACACACTGTGCAAGCAAGGTTTGTATAGAGTAATAATGACTTAGATCAGTCAGAAGGGTGATGAGAAGGAGCTGGAGAAACTGGAATTTGCATTTGTTCTTAACCAAAATTTTTTTGTGGATGAATGCATAGCTGCAACAAATCCGTTCTGGTGGCAATTTTTACATATAAAATGCAGCTGATTAAGAATACACATTATATTGTGGCAGCTGCATACAGAATCACAAGTGATTGCCCTTGAGAGCTGTTCCTTTGAAGAGATGAATGATGAGGACAGAAATGTTTATCTGGATGATTTTAGATGTTCAGGAAGGGAGCAGGCACCTGGATCCTCAAGAGGTGAGGTACCTGGCATGAAAATAAGCAATTCTTCTTTGCCTTTGTGTAAACTTGAGGAAGGATTGTCTTCCAGGAAGAAGAACTGTGTAGAGAAAGGGCCCAGCCATGTGGAAAGGTCAGTATACCAATCATGAAATCCTTCTTTAAACTTGGGCTAAGACTCCTGACTAGAAGGAGAAGACATCTCTCTGAGATGTTGTATATGGCCTCCCAGAACACTTAGTCCACCTGTAGGCTATTTGCTCCTAGTAGTACAGCTCTCCTATTTCAACCCTGATATCTGAAGAACACCTGATACCTGAATTTCATAAGAACCCTACAGGTGACAGGCGTGTTCCCAGTGAATGTACTTGCTAATCCAGTAAAATAAAATACAGCAGTGGATACCAGGTATACAATTCCCTTGGCTAAGGGGCCAAGACCTGGAGAAAGAGGTACTGAGAGCAATGATTTATACAATCCCTTCAGCTTAGAGCAGTGCTGTCATAAATAAGCTTCTATCAAGTCATTCTGTAACTTGGAATTTTTATGGAACCTAGCATTTAGAAATTAATTTTCTCTGTTTTGTATATTTATATTCCTGATTTTTTTTTTCAAATCCTCTTGTATTCAAGTTATCGGAATCTACAGCCTGCAGTCAAGTTTTTGGCAACTGCAGGACATTAATATCCATAAAAATTTTAACAAGTTTAATCAGATGCTCCAATTTTGTCTGCCCAAAAGAAACAATTGCAAAACCGTCACAAATTCACTAAGATGAGCATGTCTAAAGCTAGTTATTGAATGAATGAGACGGGTGTTGGCATGATTGAAGATCCAGGCTGTGCAGTATGCACCATGGAGTAAGGAAGTTGTCCTAGGTAGCTGCTGCATTAAGAGCTCAGATGGTGAGACAATACTTGAAAAAAACAGATGACTATGCTGCAGTGAGCACAGCTTTGTAATGTAATGCCACATGTTCTGATGCTTTGGGAAGCAAAACCAAATATTTTACATGCAGTAATAATTCTCAGAGTACTACTGTGTAATACTGAACAAAATATTAAATGTACAGTATGTTGCATCTTTACTGATAATGCTTAAGTGTGATATTGGGAATTGGGTAGTGTCAGTATCTAAGCTTGTTGATAAAGACATTTTCTCTCCTCAGTCCTTACATGTCATTCCCACTGTCACATTTTTGCACATGGCATAAGAAAATTGAATAAAGCAGAAAAGTCTGAAAAGACTGGAAAGTTGCCAAGCACCAGAAAACTCTTGTTTGCAAAAGGCGGAACATTGAAAGATTTCTCTGAGTTTGTTTTCATACAAGCTGAAACTTAAATGCCATTTATACGTTATGTCCATACAATGCTACCTGTGTTTTAAGGATTTTTTTTAATATTCTAATATATAAATATGTTGTATTTGACCTGAAGAAAATGTGAAGAAGTTGACAAAGAATTTAGATACACAATCATTTTCAGTGTGGACACACAAGTCAGTGCTTGTATTTACATGGATCTATGGTTAAACACTGAATATAATCTACAGGGAAAAATCAAAAGCAACAAGAAACCAAGAATAAAAAAACCCTAAGGAGTAAAATTAAGCTACAGGTGTCTGTATCAGGATGGGTAAAGCATGTGTCAGTACATGTCAGCCAAAATAATGTTTTAAAATGAAATACACTACTTTGAAGTGAAAAGTCAAAAACTAAATTAGAAAATGTCAAAAATAAAAACTATGAGGTCCAGATCTTGCAAACATTTAGGTAACATCATAACTCACATGAATAACCTGACTGAATGAAATCATTAACATGTGAAAGCAACTACAGGATAAGGAAGTAAGGTGGACCCTTCCCAAATATAAACAGTTCTTTTCTTTTTCCATGTTTTAAATCTAGAATCTTGTTTTAGCCAGTGGGAGTACAGGACAAGCTAACCCTTTGCGACTTTTAGAATTTGATAATCTAATAAACCTTAATTGCAGATACAGATCTCAGAACAAGATGAGCTTAGTGTGTTGGCTATTTTAGTGCCATTGTGGGCCATGTAAATTTCAAGTGATTTTTAATGATTTAGTAAATTTATATAAACAAGTTGAACATACAAACAATGGAGAGTTAAACTAACAAAAGATAACATCATTTTAACATAGATTGTCTCAAGACTGTAATGCATAGGAGTGTGATTTTGTGAGTTCATACTGTGAAATCATTAAAACTAGCAGTAGGCTTATGATGTGTGGCAGAATGTCCTCAAAATGAGAGTATCTTGTTAGCATTACAGTAACGCATCATCACAACAATCAAGTACTGTGAATACATCATGGCAACTTAATTAAAAACCATGGTTACTTCATGATACACTATTTCATAAACACGGTTCCAAATCATGTTATTTGTAATTTGCTCAGTGGGTGTTATTGAGAAGTATTTTTAAATTTTTGTTTAATACTATAGAACATTTTCAGTCCTTTATGTCTTTTGAACCTGTGCTCTGCTCATTTTTGCAAGTAGAGAGCTGCTGACCATATCCCAGGGCTCTTGTCATGGAACTAGGTGTGTTGAGTACTCAGCCACATTACAGCCCAAATATCCATGTTGTTAAATTCTCCATAGACTTACCACAGTTTGTCACTCCTTAGTGCTCCATTTGTAGCTTCATCTCAGTTTCCTTATAGCATTTTCTTTCAGCATTTCATGGCTTTTAGGAATAGATGTCTGACGTTTCTCTATCTCATCTGTACTACACCTTTTTTCTCTATCTGAGCTGAAAGACCTCTTCTGTTTTTTCAGTCTTGCGAACTGCACAAATTCATCCACTGTCCCAAAAGGTGCTTTGTTATTTAGTTTACATGAATGCCATTAATAAACCCTTTTTTCCAGGTACATTCTAGTACTAAAATGCCCCTGCAGAAACAAAACTTAAAAGCTTTGCCAGGAGTCCCTTGAAATTCTCACTCCGCTTCTAAACTTCGGAATTAACACTCGGCTACAGAATTCATTTTAATTTTTGCCATGGTTCTTTGATGCTTTCCCAGCTATTGATTAATTTTTTTTAATCCGTTATAGATAACACATGAAGATACGGTGCAATATTCTTATAAATTATAATCTGAGAAAATCACCAGTACTAGAATGCGCCTCTGCTCCAGGAGTTCTGATGGTCTAAAATGTCTTACTTAAGACTGAGTTATGCATTGCATTGACCCTTGTTCTGATATCTTCAGTGGAGTCTTTGAGAGCCTCATGTATATATAGTGTTTATAGTCTTATTTGTGTTCAAGGTTCTGAAGTTTTCTATACTTGAACTTCCCTTTTTATGTAGTATATAAAAATGGACATGTGAATGTTCACCTTTAATTTTTTTACTTTGTCATCATTATTATTATTATTATTATTATGATGGAGCTGTATGCATAAGAAATAGATTACTGTATTGGGTTTGTGGTTTTATTTGGTGTGGGTCTGCTGTACTAATTGTTTTTCAGAGCTGTTAGGAAAATGTTGTGGTTTTTTTCATTAGTCATCACCTGTAAGGAACTTAATTTAACAGGCCAAACACAGTTAATATTACATATAATATCTTAAAAAAAACCACAAAACCAACAACCAAACAAAACCAAAACACCCCACAATCACAAAAATTTAGATATGTAATATTTCAGAATTAATAAGGTTTAATTTTAGGTGGATTGCATGATGAAGTTCTAAGTTCTATTAATCCGTTTTACAAAGAATAAACAATATTAACTGGCGCATTCATGATACCACTTTCTAGCTTCAGAAAACAATTTGCAGAACAGACGTCTGAAACTTGACTATGAAGAAATCACACCATGCTTGAAAGATGTAACTTTGATTTGGGAAAAAATGTTGAGTACACCTGGAAGGTCAAAGATTAAATTTGATGTGGAAAAAATACATTCTGCTGTTGGGCAAGGTAAGCACAGTTTGTTATTTTGAGTTGTTGAAATGCATGTAAATTGTATTAGATAAGGAATAGGGTGACTTCTTAAGCACTCCTTATAACCAGATTCTCACTAGAGCTGTTCCTCAGGTTGCTGACTAAACAAGTAACAATGTTCAGTATCTTCATGGTTGTGTATGGAATTAACAGTCCCTTTCAGCGGTACTTGGTATTCATTTTTTAATAACATTTGTCCCTACAGGAGAGCTGTACGGTACTTCAATGCATTACAATTGTTGCAATCTGATTTTATAAATTCAAAGTTATAATTAAAGAAAAAAGCCTGGATAATGCCAAAGAAATGACTGTGTAAATAACTGAAGAAACTGTCTGCACTATTATCTGGAAATTCGCTGTTCCAGCCTGGGTAGTATGTGTGTATACAAACAGTATCCATGGATATCTCTGTAGAACTGCCTTTTATTTTTTGAGTTCAACAACACATTGTACCTGCAAACACCACTTACAGTCTTCCTCACAACTGCAGGCTGAGCAACCAGCCCCTCTCTCCACTGCATCAGAAGTAATATAACCTAAGGTTGTTTTATAAATATTCTAAGAAATTGGGTTATTACTCAATGTTATTTGTGCCATGGTTGGACCCAAAGGCCTTACGCTGAGTGCTCTATGTAGCTGATGGTGAAGATGGCTACTCCAAGGAGGTTTTTATAGTTCTATTGCACCTGCCTATATGCAAATATTCAAGCAAGTTAAACCAAATTGTCCATTTAAGATGACTAGGTAAGTGTAGATTCCTAACAATATCAAATGCCCCAAGCACAAATCTCTGCAGAGTAAAGAAAGCTCATTATCACGGGTTTCCTTCCATTCATGTAGGTAAAGGGCTCTGTCCAGTCAGTATTTGAGCATGAGAAAAACTTGGTTTGCTTGATAGTCCAGTGATGCTGGCCTCTGTTGGAGTTCAAAATAAAACTTAAAAAACTTGGAGTGATGCAAAATAAGTAAATAAAGCCCTGCTTAGTGGATTGCTAATAAAAAGCACGTGCAAATAGCCAGTAGAAGGGGAAATTAACCCTAGCTCTTGATGCTATTATTATGCTCTGCTCTCTAGACCTAAGTTGTGTCAGAGTTCTTAGAGTGATGTCAAATTTCATACATATGCATTTAAATTGAGTTTAGCAAGTTCTAGTTTAGACCAAAACCATTAAAAATAACTTGAGTTAGCAAGGCAAACAGGTAAGAAATGCAGGTTTCAATAAGCATGGGGCTTAAATTAGGATAACAAACATATAGTGTTGACCTATAATGTACACTGTAGTACATGTTTAAATATAGTGCATCTTTCATTTAGGAAGTAGTAAACTGAATACTTTATTTTACATGTACGATGCAGCATACAGAGATAAATTTAATATCTGACTACTTCCTTAAAGGGAATTTTAGTTAATTTGTAGTTTTGCAGCTGTAAATGTGCACTGTTAAGCCAGTGCTACCCTATGTGACACATTCAACCTTACTGAAGCTAAAGAGATTTTGGATGTGTATCTGAAAAAGAGAACCTGGCTCATTCAGTGTCTGAAACAGCACTTTCCCTCACTATTTCATGTTGGAGACTTTTTGATAATTGGGTTTAAGTTCCCTAAAGTAATTTACAGAAATGTTCTCTAAATACCCTTGGGATGTGGATTCAAATATTATACATTTCTACTAGCATTTCATTTTCAAGCAATTGTCTCTGGATTATGATAGTGTAATAAAAATGAGTATTGCAGAGATAAATTCATATCCTTTTGTGCTTAGATGAGAGAAGGGAGTGAAATTGCTTTAATATGTTTTGTTATCTTTCCATGTAAGTTGTATGCTTGAGTCAATTTTGATTTCTCCAATTGTTGTTGTCATCCATATGTTACATACGTACCAAAACAAAAAAAGCAGTCCAAAAAACTTTAAGCCGTAAGTTACTTCAAACTGTAATATATGATTCCAATACATCATGGATTAGACGGAATACTTTCGCAAAGAATAGTGTATTGATTTCTTGTGTAGATGATTTAATAGTGCCAGTCTTGTGCTGAATAAAGTATGCGTGTAACAATAACCTTTCTGTTACTTTGAGAGCTTTTTGTGTAGATACTAATGAAGGCTACCATTACCTATGTGAAATAGTTAAGTAGTATCGTCCTTTTTTATAAAGAAAGAAATTCAAGCTTTAGAACATTTTTATGTGTACCAGTCATTCAGCAAACCAATAGCAAAACTAGAAATACAAAACTTGCTTTCTGATTATGTGCCTTCTGTTGTAGTCTCTAGATCACATCTCATTTGTTCTTGTTTATACTTTTGGTATGTGTGTATCCTACCTTCCTAAAACTTACTCTTAACAACAGTGTCAGTGCTATATTAATGAAAAATGTTAATTAGTTCCATTGCAGTGCTTTATTGTGTACTTTACATGGAAAAATGGGATATAAGCATATGCCATGGTTTAAGAAAATTAACTCTATCCCAGCTGAAACCAGGACAGCATATAACTTTTCAGAGGCAAGTATTGCAATTTTTGCTGCCTCTTCTGGTACTTCTGAGACTGGATGTAAGCAGTAACCTTAGACTTAGACAGCTCACCCTGTTTCTAACTTAAATCTCTCCTGTTAAGATGCTGATGTCTTTCATTGGTTGAGGAAGTATAAGCACTGTAGTTTGATCTGCTTCTATGGTCTACTGGAGATAGCAGATACAGATCTAGCAGATAGGGATCTGCTTGCATATCTAGCAGATACAGATCTTCAGTTCCTCAATCCTGTTAACTCAACTATAGCTGAACCCTCAGTATGAGTACAAATTACTGTTTTAATGACTTTCTTCTCTCAGGAGTACCACGTCACCACCGTGGGGAGATCTGGAAGTTTCTAGCAGAGCAATACCACCTTAAACACCAGTTTCCGAGTAAACAACCACCAAAGGACACACCTTATAAAGAACTCCTAAAACAACTAACTTCTCAACAACATGCAATACTTATTGACCTAGGTAAGTACAGTAGTGGTCTGAAATTAAAATAAGGGGTTTATGATCTCTGGAAGAGAATTAAATAAAAGAGGGTAACACACAAAAAGCCTCTCACCATTTAATAATAGGTTGTTGGTAAGAACTGCTGTTAATCTGGTATAAGTGAGAACTATTACTTGACACCATTAGGAAAATGCAAAATCTGCAGTTCAAGCACAGAGATCCTTTGAAACTTGTGGTAATAAGAGGTTGCTAGATGTAACTGTAACGCATCTGTATTTCAGATACTGACAGTGAACTCCACAGGCACATGGAATACAAATTGTCAAGAAAGGAAGTCAATATTTAAGTGCAGACTGTTGAATCATGTGCTATTCATTCCTGATGTCCAGTGTTTGCTGTCTCCGTTAAACACTTCTACTTGAAATAATGCATAAGTTTTGCTCTTTGCTTTTTTTTCTTTTTTTTAATGGATAGCTGCTAGCAGTTGGTATTTTTACTTGCATTAAAACAATTATGAAAAAAGGTCTTTTTAATAATACTTTTTAAAAAGGCTCTTTTTAAGGAAGGTTATTCACGCTGCCTAATTTTAAGCAGTAGCTGCCTCCTGATTTAGGGACCATGAATTGGTCTGTGGAGGTGCATATACTATAGTCCATTGAGTTTAGCAGAGAGAGGTTAGGAACCAAGGCTCTTAGATTTGAAGTGACTGGTAGGTGGGCTTCAGGCAGGCTTTTGCTCTTATTGAGTCAAGTTTTCCATTTTCCCTCACTTTTATTGTTCAAAGCTGAAAAAGTTTTTTCTAATATTAGAAGGAAACATGAGAAAGGGAAATCTAAATGGAATGAAATGATTGTTTGAGGGTAGGAGCAGAAGAGATTGCTTCAGATAATTGTAAAATAGCAGTCTTTGTATACCTCAAAAAAATTATGCCATTCTTAACCCTTCCTTTTACTTTTCCTGGGCCTCTTTCTTTATCACTTTTAGTTCCCTTGTGTGAGATTGTCTTTTGTTGATTGACTCTTGCCACTGCTAGACTAAGACCATAATGAAACCCAGGAACATTTAGAAAGACCAAAATCAGTATGCTCTGTAAGATGTGGATCAGTATTAAGCATTGTTACTGTCTCTGCTTGCTGCTGCTCCCAGATGGTTTTGTTACGGTCTGTATCAGTATGAGCAATCTCTCCATCTCAGAAGCTCTCACAAGTCAGCCATTTGTTTCGTAGACCTCACAGAGGTACTTTTTGGCATCTTCTCCATCTTCCTTCATGAAGGCTGTTCTGTTTTCTCTCCAGTCCTGCCCCCAGGCAGCACATGGCTGCTCCTTATCTGGGTTAAGTATTCTGTGGAATCTGTTGCAGTCATTAAAGCATTCTAATGTGACACTAATTATTCAAATATATGCGATTGTTGAGTCAGATGTTCACATGTCTAACCTTTACCCTGGCAAAAGTATATGTGTTTGAATGTAAGCCATCTGATGCAAGTTTATAACACATCACTGGTATGTGGCTGAATTGGAAGTTTCTACAGATAATCTACAGATGATCCTCATGAATATACAGTTGTGGATAATATTTTAAGATATTGTTTTCTCCTCCCTTGGATATTTTAAGTCAGTTTATTTTCTGAGAAACCAGGAGCCAAGAGGATCCCAGCTCTTGTGTGTAGGATAATCCCACAATTAATGCAGTGTTGACTATGCTCTTTCCTAATAAAGGAAAAAAATTAATAATGTCTTCCAAAGCATAACAGAACTTAAAACAGACTTGTGTTGTGGGGTGTGGGATTTGGGTCTGAGGATTTGTGTGGGGCAATTTGAGAGGTCCATAATCACTAAGTTTGATTAAATGAATTTGCCATGAAAAACTCCCATCAGGGGAAGTTATGCACTGCAAGTAACCAAATGTCATGTGATAGAATGATAAAAATTTATGGGAAAATCTGTACTTGGTTTGATCTGAATGATTAATACCTATTGTATTATTTTCACTTATGTCTTTTCTGCAAAGAAGTAGTACAGAGTTGTCCCATCATACTTCTGCTCTTTATAACAACTCAAACAGTATTTGAGTATTTTTCATTACAAATGAAAGGCTATACCCCTTTTCTTCCACATGGAAGAATTGCCTGATCACCTATACCCAGAGCTGTCCAGGGGCACCTATTGCTTAATAACTCAATGTGCAGACTATCTTCAGCAGGTACTGAACTGTGAGAAGATTTGTCAAGTTTAGATGGTGACCTAAGCTTTATATGGTAAATGAGAATATTTTCTCCTTTTTTGCAATGCTTGGTAGAGTGAGTCAAAATATCAAGGCAGTGCATAGAAAACAAGAATCTGGTGGAACAGGCATGTTTCTGCAGAAACTGGTGTCAGCTGAGGTGGGGAGGGTGGTGGTCGATGCCACCTTCACTTTCCCCTACTTGACAGGCCTGTTAGGTTTCAATTAAGCACTGGGAAAGTAACACTCCAAGCAGCCTTAATGCCAGCTGGGAATAGGCAGTTGCAATGTAGGTAAATTGTTTCCCTCCAGACTTTGTCACACCAATTCTAGGAATTCACCTGGATCGCACAGCGCCAGAACCCATCTTTTGTTTTTGAGAAAGACATTTATATGCAGCCAGAGATCATTTGCTAGCAAGTACCTATCGATCAAGTCAGCATACCTGGTATTGATACCCCTGGCAATGAACGTCGGGATTCTGTTGCACTGAAGTGCCTCAGTAAGGGGTGAATAGTTTTGTGCTGAGTTAGTGAATTGAACACCTTCGGCAGAGGTGAGAGGGGTGGGACAACTCCTGGACAGTAGGGAGCACAGTCAGTCTGAGTTTGGTTGGCTCACACAGCAGACTGGGGCTTGCTGGCTCAGCAAGCTGTTCATATTTTCTGCCTGGTTCTGCACATGAATACTTTCTCATCTTAGCTGTGTGCTCTGCTTGTAGAAACAAATGACTGCATGTGTTGGCAAATTGGTAACTTCATGGTGGTTTTCATGCAAAGTGTTGTTTTTGCTGGGGAGCTATTTGCTAGCTCATTAGCTGAGGGAAGGATTGGGCCCTATTATTTCAGTAACATGACACTAGGAAGCTGAAGACTTCCTAGTTTCCTAGTGATTCACATTGAAATAGAGTAGTGCTGCACAGTAACAGAGAGCATAACCGGATAGGCAGCTAGAAGGAATTTGCATGTTCTGACTTGCGTACCTTCAGGCTATCAGAAGAGTTTTCTCTTAAATCTTTAAGAATCCTTCTGAAAGCATGCACTTCTCCCTTGTGAAAAACCTATGTTCTTGCAACATGCGGTTATAATATTTAAAAAAACTTACCAAAATTAAGCTAGAGAGGTCTTGCTAACACAGTATAAGCCAATGCCGTAATAGTATTGCTCACACTTAGTTGAATAGATGCATCTTCAGCTGTAAATAGCGCTTCTGGAGAATGAGGACAGCAGCGTGCATCTGGATGCAGAGATAAGGTACAGCAGCCACTTTCCTCGCCCAGTTTACATGTCACAGTGCCATTTCATTACATGGACAAGAACAAAGCCACAATTCCCTGAAGGCTTTTTATGTGTTTCCTTTTGTGGCACCACCTGCACAACCACTGCAGTCACTGGGGATTTCAGGTCCTGAACACCAAAGTCATGTTCAATAAATGATATCTTCTCTCACTAAGGTAGGGTAAATTGACTTCCAGATGCTCTCAGTGTAGGAAACCACTGTACTCATCACTGACTATTTGCTGAGCACAGTAGAAAATTATATTTTGTTTTATTACATTTCAAAAATAAAGTAATAAGTACTTACTTTCTCATTCTGGCACTCTTGAGGTATCACAGTTCATTTAGAGTCTCTTTTCAGCAGGGCCAGGAGTTGTTTGCTCCTAAGTAAAAGATAAAATTCTTAGTTAAGTCATCACCAGGGCACTCGGAAACAAATCAGCTTGTGAGTTTAGCAGTTCTGCTCCTCCTCCATTTACTGTTTTTTAGAACTTCCTTGCATTTTTATTCTTGTCAGCTTGTAACTTTTCTTCGTGACTTATATGAAAGGAGCCTTGCTGTGTGAGCGAGGCAGTACAGGTCTGTCTTTAGACCATGCTGTAATAATCTGTCATTCAGACAGAGGATTCCTTTGCAAAGGAACACGAGCTCCTTCTCATTTGGAAGTTAGAAATATTTTGTCTGTAACGTTCAACTCTGTGACAGCCTGGCCAAGGGGGAACGTGCTCAGGAACTGAATGCCAGCATCCCATGTGACAAGGTAGAGCAGCTACCAGATGGCAGGAGGACTCTGCCCGGGCTTTGTCTTCTTGAAACCGGAGCTCTGATATTATCTGACAGCACAGCAGCGTTCCAGGAGCTAAAGGGTGGGGTGGTATTTAACAAGTGGGTGGCCAAAAAACAAGCTCCACTTAATACTAGAACAAAAGAAGCATTCCAATTTCTTCTCCATTGAGGTATTTCACAGGGGAAATCTGATAGGGGGAGAGTTTTTTTCCTAGAAATGAAAATATTTACTTTTGGAAAAGTTTTTGAAAAAAAATCTGTAGAAGTGAAACCTTTAATGTGTCTGTTCATGGAATCACAGAGTGGTTGAGGTTGGAAGGGAGCTCTTGAGACCATCTAGTCCAACCCCTCTGCTCAAAGCAGGGTAATCTAAAGCAGGTTGCCCGGGACCATGTTCGCTCAGGTTTTGAATATGTCCATAGATGGAGACTCCGCAACCTCTCTGGTCAGCCTGTGCTGGTGTCTGACCACCCTTACAATAAGAAAAGATTTATTTTCTTATGTTAGGTGAAATTTCCGGTATTTCAGTTTGTGCCCATTACCCCTTGTCCTGCCAGTGGCACCACTGAGAAGAGCCTGGCTCCCTCTTCTTCATTCCCTCCCACTGGGTATTTGTGCACATTGATGAGATCCCCCTGAGCATTTTCTTCTCCAGGCTGAAGAGTCCCAGGTCTCTCAGTCTTTCTTCATAGGAGAGATGCTCCAGTCCCTTCATGATCTTAGTGGCCCTTTGCTGGACTCTCTCGAGTATGTCCATGTCTCTCCTGTACTGGGGAGCCCAGAACTGGACACAGCGCTCCAGGTGTGGCCTCACCGGTGCTGAGTAGAGGGGAAGGATCACATCCTTCGAACAGCTGGCAATGGCCCGCCTAATGGAGCCCAGGATACTATTAGCCTTCTTTGCTGCACGGGCACATTTCTGGCTCATGTTCAACTTGGCAAGGACCAGGTCCTTTTCTGCAAAGCTGCTTTTCAGCTGGGTGGCCCCCAGCATATACTGGTGCGTGGGGTTGTTCCTCCCTAGCTGCAAGATTTTTGCACTACCCTTTGTTGAAGTTCATGAAGTTCCTGTCAGCCCGTTTCTTCAGCCTGTCAAGGTCCCTGTGAATGGCAGGACGATCCTCTGGTGTATCTGCTACTCCTCCCAGTTTTGTATCATCTGCAGGCTTGCTGAGGGTGCACTCATTAATGACCCTCCCTAATCAGGGATCAGCTAGAACAAAGGCTATGGCACCCTGTCATCAAGGGCAGCTGATGAGGGTTGGTTAGAAGCTGCCAGAGCTACCCTTACCACAGCCTCAGCCTTACCTGCCAGCAGCAGTACTTCCAGGTTCCCAGGAGTCCCCTGGTGATCCCAGACAAAGTATCCAGATGCTCAAGAGCTTGAAGAAGCAAAGCCCAGAAACTGCTGCACAAAGTGCTGTGTCTGTTGGCTGCCTCCATTAGCTGCACTCTCATATAATATGTATATAGCATGTATCATAGCACATACGTAGCTACAGAATTCTTGATATTGTAAGGGCCGCAGAAAAAAAGACAAATTGAGTTTTTACTCACTGAGTAAATATTGTGGGTCAAACTGATTGTGTAAGTTACCTAGTTGGATTGGTTTGGTTTAAGGACGTGGGTTCCAGCTCTGTATGAAAGTTTACAGATAAGCCAGTGTGGGGTGGAAGTCACCATCTTGTTCTAGAACTGAAGGACTGGAAATGGCTCAGTTGTGCTCCTACAGCTCTACAACTAGTATAGTTTACCTTAGGGTAGGGTTTAAAGAGATGTGGGAATAGATCCAAAACCCATTGCTACCAAGAGAAAGGTTTGCTCCAACAACCTACTCCTACTCTCCAAGCACTTGTGACTTGTGCTGGTGCTCATGGGATGCCTCCTGGAGCTGACACAGCTGAGCGACAGGGGAGAATAACTAACCCCATGTAAAAAGGGATTTTTCTGCCAGGTTAGTGAACTGGATCAGCTCATGGAAGAGCCTGAGCTTCATGCTGCAGGAAAGCAGGAAGGACCCGTAAGACTGGGAAGGACCAAGGCAAGGAGGGAGGTGACAAAAGACACATTTACTGGAAAAAAAGACAAGAAGAAAAAAGAAAGGAAAGGGGCCCCAACCCACAGAGCTCAGATGTTCTAAGTCTGTGCCTGGATCCTAATAGTTGTCTAAAAGCTAACACTTTTTAATCAAGAAAAGAGGACTGGGTGACTCGTCGAGCCACTGAATCAAGTCTCCCACAAACTGATCAAGGGCCAGTCTTAAGAACCAGTTACTCAGCTGTTCCAAACAACAGACTGTCCCCATTCCCCTGACAATTTCTAAATTAATTTTGCAACTACTGTAACAAAACAGTAGTAGAGTATAGGAGTCGATTGTTTTGTATTGTTAACTTTCATATGGTCTTCCTGTGGGTTGACTCAGAATCTACCTTTTTGAAAGACTGTTTAATTTGATAGCATGGCAAGGTTGGGGGTTTTTTTGTTTATTTTTTAGTTTAAGTCACTAACTTCAGCTGTTTTCACAGGGCGCACATTTCCAACACATCCGTACTTCTCAGCACAGCTGGGAGCTGGGCAGCTGTCACTCTACAATATTTTGAAGGCCTATTCGCTTCTGGACCAGGAAGTAGGATATTGCCAGGGCCTTAGTTTTGTAGCAGGAGTTTTACTACTTCATATGAGTGAAGAAGATGCTTTTAAAATGCTGAAGTTTCTCATGTTTGACATGGGCCTGAGAAAACAATATCGTCCTGACATGACAATTTTACAGGTATGATTTTATTTTTTCTAATAAAAGGATGCTAATGTTAAATCATAATGCAATATAGATAGCCTTGTCAAAATCTGGACTTGAACTTAAAATCAGTTCTCAAAAATGGGGAAGGATAATCTGGGAAAAGAATACATCATCTTAAATGCACTGTTTTCAAATAAAAAGACTACTGGGGAAACTATGAAAACCATAAATAGGAAGAATTCTGTTCCATGTTGTATGAGGTTCAAATGACCCTGCAAATGACCCTGTCATAGGTTCACAGGTGACCCATCCTGGGTCTTTTAGATGGCTTCTGAGTATTGCTTTTCTTCACAACATTCCATCCAAACGTCAATTGACAAGTATCTTCTTCTAGTAAGAGCGTGAAGCATGGACTTTGTTACTATGAGTGTTAAAACATGTTTATCTTTAGTCTCTTTGTTCTTATTCCATGCAGATCCAGATGTATCAACTGTCTCGACTTCTTCACGACTACCATCGAGATCTGTATAACCACCTAGAGGAACATGAGATTGGCCCCAGCCTCTATGCTGCTCCCTGGTTTCTCACCATGTTTGCATCCCAGTTTCCACTTGGATTTGTAGCCAGAGTGTTTGGTAATTCTTCATAAAACTTCTATCTGTTCTTTTTGAAGTCTTATATTTGGAATCCTCTTGTTAGGAACAGCATTATTATCCAGCCTGTTTCAGACACCCAAGAGAAATATTTTACTTACTATTGATGAACAGAAGAAGAACAACAGAGGTCATCTTATGGAGCATGTAGTATTTACAGTAAAATGTAAAAAAAGAGAGAGGAGGAAAGCATATGACAGTCCCAAACTGTCCTGTCTTTTCATCCTCATTGTTACGTTTTCCCACTCTGTAACCACTTGTAGAGAAGATGTAGAATTTGATGCCATGAAGGCATGGTGTTATGACAATGGCAATTCAACACTTACAGTTAGTTTCAAGCTGAAAAGAGATGTCACAAAGGCATCATCTAAGAAATACATCCATTTACTCTGTTATCACTGTCTTCAGCAGTGTCAGTGGAAAATTATTTTGAGGGTTGTATTTTTAAAACACACACAGAGATGGCCCTTGCAGTTTAATTATGGATTTACTCTGCAGTAACATAGGGCCTTTAAACTAGTGTTTCTTATCCTTACAATTTTAGCCTGATTGATAATCTCACTTTCTGAAAATGTTTGGAAGCATATGGGGTTTAGGCTCTAAAGTCACTTCTGTTACCTATTTTTAGAATCTACAGAAGTAAAGTTCTCTTTTTTTTAATTAAACTCCAATTAAGAATTTACCTTAATGCTATCTTATGGATGTATATTTCATAGATTGTTTGGTATTTGAGAATATGCTTTATTTCCTTTTCAGTTGTTTGTTTTTCAATTTCATTATGTGGTACTTGTTCATCCATGATGAGCAGGCTGGATTGGAGCTTTCCCCCCGATTCCTGTCTTCTAATGAGAAGCTATTTTCATTTTCCTCAGTCAGTCTCACTTAAGAGATGTCATGAAGCAATTCTTTATTAGGACGTTAATATTCACACTTTCCTGACTTAAAAAAATTATAGTCACATCTACCACAATAACAAATAATGAATATGCATTCCAAGAAGAACCAACAGGAATCCCGTCCTGTTTCTGTTTAAGGACATGCCAAAAGTAGTGCTAGAAGAAATCTCAGTGAAAAGGATGGTGTGTAGCTAAGTAGAACTACATGTCCTGTGATTAGCATCTTAACTCCAGGGAAAAAAATTTTTTCCTGGAACAGTCCAAAGTAGGCTAATATACATCAACAAGCATCTAGCTGAGAGTAATAATCTGTAGGAATTAAATGAAGTGCTGTATGTGAGTGTCACATACTGAGTTTATAATCAGTTCATCTTTCAATTATTCTTAAATCGTTCATAGTATTGTAAATGATAAGAATAGTCTTTGAATTGGACAGTTGACTGCAGTAAGGGTATAAAAGTACCATGTGTATCCAGTACATTTGGATTTCTGCCTTAATACACAAATTAGTATTTTTCTGTCATTGGAGGGTTGTAGGGCTTTAGAAAGCAAAGATTTTGCATTAGAATCGAAGGCATAGGTGCATGATCTTCAGAGGACTGATTTTAGGTCAAGAACAGAAAGCATGTGTGACTGAAACTGTCACCTCTTTAAAATCTCTGATGTTTTTTAGAGAGAAAGTCCAGCATGACCAACACTTGCAGTTTTTAATGTTTCAAAGTATTTAGTAATTTCCTTTAGTGGAAGCTACGTAAGTCGAGAACATTGGTCATTCTTTTACATTAGAAAGTAAAATCTCATCTTCACCCATGCTAAAGACTCTAAAACACAACTATAAATGTAAAAAAGGCTAGAGCTGTCACTTTGCTCGCAGCTGTCATTGGCAGCATGGCAAGTTAGGATCCGATCAGTTCTGACCCATGTGTTCACGCACTTTTGCAGAACATACATACATTTTCATTGCCCACTTATTAGAAGGCTTGGGATGAAAGAATGTTGCCTTTTAATGTTGAAGTAACTCATGTATAGGTTACTATGACTGTAAGATTGCACTGCCATTTTCTAACATGGTATCTCTGAACCATTGATGTTTGAAGCCCCACTGCTATTTAATAATATAATTGTAACAGACCACTTCCTTTAGATTTCCATAGAGCGTACTTTTTGCAAGCATCTTACAAGCAATATGTAAAAGAAGTGGGCTAGAAAGAGGTTAACCCAAAAACTGTTTTATGAGTCAAATAGCAAAACTCCTTTTAACTTTTTAATTATCTGTCCAAACTTTCAACATGCCTCCTGTGCAGGATCTAATGAAAATACAGCATCAACAAAGATGTTCTTTTTAATACTCCTATTTACTTATTAATGGAGGAGACTTGGTAGAATAGTGTTTATTTTGTTTCAAGATTGTAGATAAAACTTGATTTTTTTTTTTAATCCTGTAGGCTGCCAGTCATGCTGACATTAATTTGGGTACCTTCACTGTACTGTCATTGGCTGGCAGCCCACTTAACGGGAAGCATGAGGAGTGGATAACAAACAGGTCTTTGTTAAGTATTTGCTATTTTAAATGAGAGGGGGATTTCAGCCATATATTACCAGCTCAGCTCATACAGACATTCATTAACAACTTATAGGTCACCTTGAGTTAATCTACATGTCTTTATGGGCAGGTGCTGAATCATAAATATGCATTATTTTCAGCTCTGTTTTTTTCACTTTTTCCTAGCTGGTCTTCAGCATTCCCATACTTTTCAGTTTCAATAGCAAATTGAGGCAGATGCCTGCACTGTTACCGCTTTTCAATCATTCCTACCTTTGGACTTCAAATTGAATCAGACTTGAAAAAATTTATACCACTTTTAGGACAAATGGTGGCAAAGTGCAAGATTTATGGTTAGTTATTACTTGTGCTTTTCTTTCTCAGAGAGAGAGAGAAGTGAAATGAGTTATGGCTTCAACATTAGAGGCAAAAGAGCGCAAAGGGGGAATTTCATTATGATACAAATTCGGAAAGAGAGGTTGCTTTTACTAAGAAAGGCAGTTAGCCAGTGTTTTCATATGTTCTTTACTACATCAGAGATACCTGTGGTTTTGCTAGTAGTTGTTTCCCTTACCATGTGGTGGTTTTTTTCTCTCTCTCTCTTTATTCTTCTTGGGTTTTATCATTAAGACATACTATTTATTTGGTGTCACTGTGCTACTTAAGTGATTGTGACTTCATTCACAGCTTCAAATACAAAGAAGGGAAAGAACAAGAGAGAAGCCCTTTAAAAATAAAAATATATTTAGGAAATGTGGAATAAAACCACAGTATCTTATCTTCCTTTTCCTCCATCAGTATTGTTTCATATGTTAGATGCTTTTGCCTGTAGCAAGTCCCTCAATAAAACCAGGAGCAGATTCTGAGTTACAGTAGCAGGAAAGTCAAATGCAGGGCAATGCTGTTTATACTGTGGACAGATGGGTTTGTGAAGATGGGTTTCTTGTCTGATGCTTTCATTGCAGTCTTCTTTTTTTTGTTCTATAAAGACATAGGCATTTTGTAAAGGAAAAGAAAAGAAAGGAAGTTGCATTGAAAGGTCACTATATACTGTGGTTTCAGTGTGCTTGAATGTATGCCAGGTGCTGTCATTGCAGGGCCACCTGCAGTATTAACGCTTAAGCTGTATTACTAAGATTTCAGGGTACTTATTAATGTATTTATTAGAATATTAACATAAGTAGTTGAGACACAAACTAAAAATAAGCACATGCACATGAAACTCGAGGCTGCTGGAAAGTGCACATTTAGCCTCATGTGCTCAGTGTTGTATTAACTGAGATTTTATAGCTTTCTCCACCAGATGGGAAAAGAACAGAACTTCAGATCTTTGGCTGTGTCTTCAGGTATAGTTTTTGCCTGTTGTATTAGGATTTTTAAATGGCATTGGGATTAGAATTCTATTCAAATTCAGATTCCTGTTAACATCTCAAAAGAAAAAAGCGCACAAAACTATTACATGCACAAAAAGTGGCAACACTGACAAACTTGACTACCTGGTTTATTGTGTACTTAGCTTAAATTTGAACTGGATTTCTTGGATGAAAACTCACTAAACAAATTAATAATTGATTGTGTTAGTCAAGTGTGCTATTCACAGTAATAATCCTGATCCTGTAAAACTTCTAAAGCCACAGCCACAGTAACAAAAGCACGTGTCTGGCACAGTATATCTAGCCTCCAGATCACTCCTATGAGAAGTTGTTGTCCTTGGACATTTTACTGGTTTAATATTCTTGTCATAAGATGTGCTTGCTTGATGTACTCTGTTTTTTCTTTGTTTTCACAGATATGCTCTTTCTTCAAGGATCAGAGGCTATATTTAAAGTGGCTTTAAGCCTTTTGGGAAGCCACAAGCCCTTGATTCTGCAGCATGAGAACCTAGAAACTATTGTTGATTTTATTAAAAGTACTCTTCCCAACTTGGGTTTGGTACAGATGGAAAAGACCATTAGTCAGGTATGAAATAATCTGAATATATGAGTAGTATGCAAAGGAATGGTCTTTTTACCAAGTTCTTGACAGAAAAACCACAACAGTGTATTGTGTTACTTCAAGCTGAGAATTCTATTACTGTAGTTCTGAAGATGTTGAAAACTTTTGGAAGCATATGACTTGCATAATACTTCTGTATTCATACATCTACATGTTGGTTATGGTCCCTTTATGAAGCCTTTAATGAAAATTAGTTTACTTTTTTACTTTTAAGTGTACAACAATGTTACTGGCAGCAATGTTGCAGCCCATATGCAGTGCATTCCGCAAAAAAAGCAGCAAGGTGGGCTAAAACCCTTTTGAGTTTTCCTGTCTCCAAAGAATCTTGCTCTCCAAGTCTCATTTCAGAAGCAAAAATTGACTTACAAGAGCCTCATAAATAATGACCTTACTTAATGAAATTAGAAGCCTCCCTAGGTTGACTTTGTCTATACTGGCTTTTATGGTGCTGGTTCAGTATCTGACAATAGTGCCTTTGTATTTCTGCCAGGAGTACATGGGGCAGTGCAGTCTCTTGCAGTGAGCAGTGACTCTAGACAGCAAAAACTGGGAATCCTCAATATACTTTTTTTTAAATGGCAGACAAGGAAAATGATGCAATATTGTTAAGCTAGCAGAAGGCTCCAGATGATAACTATGGAATTTGAAAAAAATCACAGATTATTGCAGTTAAGGCTTGCCTGTTTAGAAACCCGAACTGTTACACTTGACATCTAATTTGCATCAGGCAAGTAGAAGACGTGTTTTAGCCTGTTTTTCTGAAGGCCTTTTGTGGTCCAAAACATGGGGGGCGCACTGTGCAGAACTGCAAATGCCTGCTGCTCACCAAGGGCTGCAGGAGATCTGCAAAGCCTGTGGCTTGATAAAGAAAGCAGGCAGCAGCACAGTACACTGCAGAATGCTTGCAAGGGGCTCCCTTCTGATCCCTGGCAGCAAAGCTTCCAGGGGATGTGCACTCAAATTAGGATCAGAAAAATTGCTTCTTGTGCTTACTATCAAAGAAAGGAGGGGAGAACTAGAAAGCCTGTGTGAGGAGAAGGAAAGCAAGTGATTTCTAGGAGCCAAAGGGGTTCATATGTTATCTGTCAGGCTGAAAGGCTGGAGTGCATAGCTCTGCAGACTTGCAGTGCTTGGGCAACCTGCAGAAAACCACTGGCTTTGAGCAGAAGGAGGGAGAGAAACTCTGTTTAGGCAGCTCTGACTACTCTAAATTTAAAGTGGGCAGGTAGAAGTGAGTTGAAGGGAGATCCCTTCCCCTGCTTTGATCAGGGCTGCCTTTGAAGAGAGGCAGCTGTTTGACCAGCCCTGGAGTGCATACACAGCTCCTGGGCCAGTATCCATCCTCACACCTTCTGCAGAGTGGCCTTTGGTTTACATGCCCTAACGTGCCTTCAGTTAGCTGGTTTTCAAGTCAAGCTTTTGATTTGCTTCATGTTTCCCCCTTTCAGATTTGATACTCTGGGTATGACAGCAGGGATTTCCCTCCCTTCCCAAGAGCACAGAGGCTAGAAGTGGCAGAGGTCATGAGAGGAACTAGCATTCCGCCCTGCTGAATTGCACCATTTGTTTTATTGAAGTTTCAACAGCATGTGTTCTAGAGATGCTTAGATCTACAGAAAATGAAAGTTCCATATGTGTAACCACACTCAAATTAAAATTGTATTTCAGCCTTCTGTACTTAGATGCTCAGTGTGTGTGTTTCTACATCTATACAGCTATGAGAGAATTTTTTATAGCATAAGTAATAGCTGTCAGAACCATTTCATAAACAGATGTTTTCTTTAACTATAACCACCAGTTAAGGTCTTGTAGACAAAGCAGATAAATAAAATAGGCAATAACTCTTGTTATTTCAACAGGTATTTAAGATAGTATTTGGTATTTGACTCATTTTCAAAAGGAATAAAGTACAAGAGGTTTAAAAATAAAGAATAACCCTTGAAGTTATATTCTTGGGCTATTTTCCAGATGCATTTTTAAATCAACTTTTGTTTCTACTATGTTCTGTGATTGACACGCTTATCCTTTTAATTTACCACCTTTTTCACTGCTTTCAGAGGAGATAACTAGCTCAGGGACATTAGAGTCATATTTCCTGAATAATTTGAAGGCAGATGTTTGCCAAAACCTAGGAAAAGGAAAATACAATCCCAGTTTTTTCCTTGCAGTCACTCTGTGCCCTCCATTTATTTATCTGCTTTTAAAATAAAGGGTTTTCTTAATATTCATGTGTAAGACCGAGCACTCATTTTGGTGATTCATAGTTAATAATAGAAATCTGCTTTGACATTACATAATGTTTCCATTAAGTGTATTAGTGTAAGGATAGATTATTTCATCTTCTTTCAGTCACTAGGAGTACCATAGAATCATAAATAAACCTAGCAACGTTTATTGTTTTTCATTTAAAGCTTTCATTCTACTTAGCCTTACACTTGCACATGTGGCTCATGGGCATGGACCACACTTTTCTAAAGTGACATGTAATTCCAAGTATGTCTAGGAGGGTTTATGCCAAACTGAGATGCATTACATTTGAAATCTAAAAAAGGTGATACCCTATGAAGTCTACACTTCTTGAAAACTTCAGTGTAAGTGATTTTGCTGAAGTCATACAGCAAATCAGTAGCAAAGTTTTTAAGTAGATCCAATGCCAAAGTATTGCACTCTACTGCCTCAATCTTGCCATTTCCAGAGTAGGAGATGTGAATGCCAAAACTTAAGTCCTTTTTTGGTATGCAGTGATTAGATATCTAAGTCTAGATCCATCGATTTTAAAGCATTGAATGAGCTATGTTTTAGATCTGCACAGCACTTAATAATATTTTTATATACAACAGGTGTTTGAAATGGATATTGCCAAGCAGTTGCAAGCTTATGAAGTTGAATACCATGTGCTTCAGGATGAGCTTATAGATTCATCTTTAAATGACAATCAGAGACTGGATAAATTAGAAAAGGCAAACAGCAGCTTGCGCAAACAAAACTTTGATCTCCTGGAAGAACTGCAGGTACAATTTGTATTTCATGTTTAATTAACATTCTAATTTATCTACCTTTTCAGAAAAGACTATCTTACACCAAGGCACAGGAAAGATTGGCATGTGGTCTAGTGTTTTTGAAGTGTAGCCATTTGGAATTTTTAGTTTAGCCTTTAAACTTAAATGCAGAAGAAATTCTGAGAGTGAGTAGATACAGCACATGCTTACAATTAGTGAAAAGTTGATTCATCACACTGTCTCTTCTCTTGTAATTAAAATCATAGCTGTAGAAGATGACTAAAAACATACAAAGTGCTTTCTCAACTTCATTTTTACGTTTTCAGTCACTGCTTTATTACAGCAGGGATACTAGTCTATCACAAATGGGAAAGCTAATGCCAGTGTCACAATATAGAGTTACATCAGATATGGGGTACGTTGCCTATATAGACATACTCTTTCTTACAAAAAAATTTTTTTAAACTGTTATCCAGATTGTTTAGACAATATGTGAAATAATAATTTCTAATATATACTTGGTGCCTGTTCAGTCTGCAGCTTTTTCAGAGGCAGTACACCTGGTCTCTATAGGGGGTGTTCTTTGCTTAACTGTTCAAGAATTCAGCTTTCTGGCTGCTTTATAACACCACATGACTTCTATAACTTTTGACTGTGCATTTAGTTTGATGGAGAAAGGGAGTTCAAGGGTAAGAAGAAGACATTTCAAGCTTCTTGATTATTGTTAAAGACATAGACTTTGTAAGATAATAGGTGAGGAGTTCAGGTTTCTCAGACATTGGTCCTGTATCATGACTAAAGCTAGCCAACTGTGCAGACTTAGATTGCCTCTCCTAATAAAAATTTGCTTGAGCTGTAAATCCTGATCCTGTGAGACCTGAATGTGTTTCAGGTTCTAAAATGAGCCTTAGAGAAGTCCGAAGAAATACTCCTCTGCAAGATATTTTCATAAAGCTCCAGGCACATGGGCAAGGAAATTGTTGAATGTAGTATGGGGGAGAGGGATTTCTGGCATGACATTCAAGATGTGATGTCCTACAGATACCTGCATCAGGGGATCTTCTCCTGCTCCTGTCCCTAAAGACTTTGCAGCCCTAAGCAGTGTTTGTACAAAGCTCATCTCCACCTGAGTGCTGGCAAGTCAGCACCTAACATCATAGTGGGGAACGTAACTGTCTGTAGTGTTGGAGCAATCCCTTTGTCTTAGAGGTGGGCTTCATCAGCCTTCGTTTCCTATGGTGAAAGGTGACCCATTGCTGATGGGAGGAAAATGCATCACCAAACAATGTGGGTCATGGTTTGTCAATATTTTGCCCCCACAGGCTGAACTTTTTAACCCACCATAATTACATGAAGGGCAGTGAGCTCATCAGAAAGGCAAATACTTCCCTGAAAGCCAAGACCATCCAGTGCTCTTGTCTCCAAATTTTATTCACAGCTTACAACTTCAGAACGGATCTCAGCTTTTGTCAAAGTACCTGTCCTGGTTTCAGCTGGGACAGAGTTGATTTTCTTTCTAATAGCTGGTACAGTGCTATGTTTTGGGTTCAGTATGAGAAGAATGTTGATAACACACTGATGTTTTCAGTTGTTGCTCAGTAGTGTTTAGTCTAAGTCAAGGATTTTTCTGCTTCTCACGCCCCGCCAGCAAGAAGGCTGGAGGGGCGCAAGAAGTTGGGAGGGGACACAGCCAGGGCAGCTGACCCAAACTGACCAAAGGAATATTCCATACCATGGGATGTCATGCCCAGTATAGAAACTGGGGGGAGTTGGCCTGGAGGGATCTCTGTTCAGGAACTAACTGGGCATCGGTCAACGAGTGGTGAGCAATTGCATTGTGCATCACTTGTTTTGTATATTCCAATTTTTTATTATTATTATTGTTGTTGTTGTTGTTGTCACTTATCATTATTATTATCATCATCATCATTATTATTTTCTTCCTTTCTGTTCTATTAAACTGTCTTTATCTCAACCCACCAGTTTTACTTTTTCCTTTCTCTCCATCCCTCCCACACAACCTCACCCCACTGGCCAACGTATAATTTGCAGACTTAGTAACTTTCTAATTTCATTACTTTGCATTATA